TCGAATATCAAACGAATAGTTCCTGATTTAAAATTTAATGTATTTAGTATAATTTTTAATACAAAGTAGTATGTATAATATCGATTATAAAATGTAACCTAATTGTTTTAGATTATACATTAATGTGTTATGATTTTAATATCATGGTTTTTTTAAATAAAGAAGTTTAACTTAACTTAGTATTATTATCTTAATTTTTCAGTAAGATAATGCCTATATAAATCAGTAAGTTTTTGTTCGAATTTTGATGAATAGATATTTTGAAAAAACCTGTATCGATATGTATAATAGACTTCTATTTAAATAGCTTAACAAATTTAATTACCTATTTAAAAATTTGATTTTAAGTATACTTAAAAATTCTAAAAATTAGAATTCAGATGAATTTATTGTTAAATTAAAAATGGTAGTGAATCTTAGTGAATAACCACTCTGTATATCGTATATGTATATGCAGAAATAAATAATTACAGTTTGTAACCATTGTTCTTATTTGGTGTAGAAAAAATAAATACATATATATATATATATATTATAGATACTTTTATATGATTGGTAGATTCAATTAAAGAGTATGTTCGAATTTAATAAAGAAAAAATAGAAGGGAGAGGACACTTCCTTCCTTATTTGAGCGTAAAATTATTAGTCGACAGAACAACAAAAAAAAAAAAAAAAAAAACCACTTATAACATCAATTGTATATTAGTTTTCATCATTCTAATAAAATAAACTCTTATGTTGAATATTTAATTATTATGTTATTGACGTTAAATTAGTATTTTTTTCATTTGATTTGTGTTTGATATGTTCGCGTGTATTCGGCAAAAAATAACCAGTTTAATATAATTTTCTCGGTTTTATGAAAAGAAATTATTATAAATATTAGTTATCTACTTTAATATTGTTGATTGTAAATATGTTTATTGTATATGTAGATGTATTTTTACGTATTATTTGTTTTAAATACCAAATATGTTACGAAATTTTTTAATTTAAGTTTATTTATATTTATGTTACCCGTATAACGAAATATTTATCCGTTTAGTTTCTAATGTTGTATTTAAATCGATTTTTTGTCTACAATAAATTGTTTATAAAATATTGTATTTCATGATAGTTGTTTGTTTTAATTGTAGTTTTGAACGTCGCATAATATAATTTAAAAAATAATAATGAATCAAGTAATTATAAGTATAATCATTTAGTCTATATTGATTAATGACGACTTGATACGATACGTGAAATTTGATAATTATTTCGTCGAAATCATATTATTAGTTATAACTTATAACTTATAACCTTTGATTACCATCGTTCATTTACCTCTATTATAGTTTCAATTTATAAATTACTGTTATATCGTGCAGGTTATAAATTAAATTAGACGTATTATGGCTTGAAATTTGAATGGAATGGCAACCATTTATGTACGAATTATTTTTAAAACTTTAAGGCCTCGTTAGAACACTTTAACTCGCATAATTTGGCAAGTATTTTCATTTTATTTATGAGTATATAAATACATCCCATTGCCAATACTTCATTACACTTGGTGTTTTCAGTGAATATTTCTTTTAAATTTTCTATTTTAATATACATGTATTGTATGGATATATTGTGCTGTATGCTGATTAATTTTTATTATTGACTAATAAAGCAAGTCCAAATCCTAAGGGAACTTATTCGTTTTAAAACCAATTATTGAATAATATATCTTATATCATAATATATACTCAAACTGTGTGATACTGGTGTATAAATACTCACCTAATTTGTTTACAGGCTTAACATTGTAGTTAAGTAATTTATTTTCCCAAGTTATATTTTTTTTGTTCTGATAAAATGTTTAAAGTCTACGTTCATGCAGTTATTTTTTCAAAATACCTTTGTTAAAAATAAATATTTTATACAACAATAATAGTCTTTACTTTACATAATATGTAACTAATGTTCACATTTGTGTTTTTAACATGGCTAATAAATTTAATTTCGATAACAATATAAATTCATTGTAAAGATATTTGGTATATCATCCTTAAGAGGTGAAGTTAGTTTGATAAAAATGAATAATGACTGATAAACAATATCGTTATTCTAATTATTCCGTGATTGTGAACAATGTTAGAAAGTAATATTTTAATGAGTTAGTCTTTTGGGTTTGAACAAGTAACGTTGATACTTGATAGCATGTATTGTATTATGATCATCATCCTACCATTTTACACTAATACTATTAATATTTATGTGGTCTACTAGATACCCACATTTAATTTGGAAAAAATATTGAATAATTTTTAAATTTTTTTTAGGTTTATTTTTTAATCATCTATACCAAATAAAATCAATAACTGCCCTGTTGTTTTGATATGTTCTTTTATAAACCATTAAATGATGATCACTTAACAGTGTAGTCGTGGACTATTTTATTTTATTTATAAATGTAAATTAATCGTATATTGGTACAATGGTACTGGTATGTGGCATAGCCCATTAGGATTTTTAATACTTTATTTACAATAGTAATAAATAGTATAGAATTCACCAATGTATTCAGCTTGAAAAATGTCTATTTAATTATTAAGTAGTGTATAAACGACTGCGTGTGAAGTGGAATTCATGTGTATATAATTGCTCAATATTTTACAGCTTTTTAATTTGATGGCCTTTCGATTATAGGTATATTAATAATATAATAGTGTCCATTAATTTTATTACTGCCTTGTATTTCGCCGCTATTGTACTTTTAGCGTCACGCTATGAAAGAATTAAAATTTTTAAAATGTACATTTCATACAATATAATATTATACTATACTCGGCATTGCCGAGAATGGGAGAATACGACTAAATTCAATTAAGTTCGGCCTGATATGAGGGGGGGCTCCGGCACGATTATACGAGGACGAGAAGGAAACAAAATAATATGTTATTTCGATTCGTCACGAAAGAGCTGCCCGATTTTTATGTCGCTGTGGTTGCTGTAAAATGCTTGAGAAAAATATTATAGTAACCCATAACGTAGTATTGTGATTTGGGCTGCACAGCCAACAGAAACGATGATGCGAGAACAAAGCCACTGCGCCCTGATGTACCAACTCAACAGGTCTCGCGTTTGAAGCCCGCTTCGCTATCGCGCGGACAATAAATTCTGTCTAAATTTAGTATTGCTATAAAAAAAAAATCTTCTGAGCGTTTCAGTACGCGTTTGCCAAGCTCTGTAATCGCGTGCACGCACAAATGCTGTCGTCCCACGGGTTGATATATGTACGCGTACGTTTATTATCTCGTTCGCGTTCGTTTTTAACGAATCATTTATATTATTATTAATATTGTCAGTGACGGCTATGTACGTGTAGCCGACAATAAACATCAATTTAACTCAATAATATTATCCCAACGTACAAACGGGGCTCGGCCACGTCGGCGTAATATGGCTCGCTTTCTCATAGGATGTAGCCACTTGTCGAACGACACAAAAACGTTGTATACATAATATTATTATTATGTATTATATACTAGCCCGCAGCATTTTACAATATAATATTTGGTTTTTTTCTACTATACCTATAATGGTATATTGTGTATTTATATTTTATATTTTTTTTTCCAACGTCGTCGATGAACTATTACAACAATGGTCATCCCCCACCACTACAGAAGCGTCCCCCGAATTGGCCCCGGTGCAATGCACACAATGCATCTCACAGTACATCCTCATTAGACCAAAGTTTTCTCCGCTCCAGCGAAATCCCCCCCTCCACTGCTCCGTCGTTTTTTCCCTCCACGAATTATGTTGTTCATTATACTACTGTATACACTATAATGCTGTATAGTAAAGTACTTATTTATTATGATGTGCACGACGAAATGTAAAAAATAGACAAGTCCTTCGAGTAGTTGCATACTACACTACACTCATGTCGTTTACATACATTCGCATCTTGGTTACTTATTCTCAACAAAGCATTAAACGTCTGTCCAAAGGAAACAATTGACGATTTTTTTCATTTTCTATTTTTTATCAATCAGGATTATTGCGAAATATGTAAAATACAGGTTCTCGTAATACACGAGATGCGCGTGCGTTTATAGGAAGAACCTCACTCGCGCGCGCGGTTTGGTCACGAATATCTTACCGCTTTCACGCACCACACGAATATGGCCATCGTCATACTAGTTCTCCGTTTAAAAATCTAAGTTATGTAATTTTTTTGGAGAAACTTTGATGCCTATGTACACACATTATATTATTATAATATATCTATTATCGGTCTAGTCTCGAACACACGCGTTTAATTTGTCGGTATGTATTCATATGCCCTCGTCCTAAAACAACATTATATATATATATATATACAATAATAACATATCCGCAATAATTAGTATTCAACTGTTGTACGTCAAACTGGTTGCTGGCCCGAAACCCGTGTGGCATTTATACCCGTTCTACACACCTATTTATGCTCTGGCTCCACTTTTGTTCATGGACCCGTAGCTTAGTCCGTCCATAAATATAATGATATATTCCGAGGCTCTCGCTCCATCTCTCCGCGGGATTGTTGCTGTAGTAAATACGTATTATTGTACCAAAATTCTCCTTGCGCTGAAGATGGGCCTACAAACATGACTAGTTTCCTGTCATAACAGACTAATGCGTGTAGGTATTTGGCAGTAGGTAGAATAAAATAAAAATGTATTCCTCCTATTAAATAAAATATTGTTAGTTTAGGTTAACTATGATTAAAAAGATTCACTTATAATCTCTAGCTCAATACTTAGGTCCTAGAATATAATATTTCGTTCGAATCTGCAGTAATCATTTTTTATAAAAGGAAATTTTAGCGTAATTTTTGAAAGTTAATTAAGAATTAAATAGTTATTTAAATTTTTTATGTTACAATAACTGTGTAGGTAAATGTTTTAAAAAAAGCATTAATATAAAATATTGAATAAATAGTTTATTTTATAATTTAAATTTATATTGAATTCATAGATGAGTGAAATAAAGTACTAAAGGGCTAAAGGGCTACTGTAATGATTGTAATTTATTTCTTAATTTTGTATAAAAGTGTATTGTTATAAGTTTAAACTATGGATAACTGTTTTTTTGATTACGACAAATAGTAATTGAGTTTATGATTTTATACAATCAATCTCTAACTCAACTCAACCTTAATTCTAAAGAATGTTTTAATTCTATAACTTTTTCTTTGTTTTGTATTTTTACATAAGAAAATAATTAATATTTATAGAGTTCTGACCTGCTGATTGTCTTGCATAATATATTATCATCACGTCTTATAAACGATCACGGGAGTATTATCTATAGTCGATTTCTTCTCAATGATATTGTATATTTATATTCATATAGTACGTATTTATTTTACATATAAGTATTGAGTGTATGGCTATAATAATATTTTGATGTTACTTGTTGCCCTTGTGGTTGGATACACAATCTATACTTTCCGGAGTCATGTAAAAGTTTTTATCGTACACACATGATATACAACCTGAAACTACCTAGTTTTGTGCCAAACCAAATTACTGTGTATTTATTATACACTACGTCTATACAGGTCAGGTACTGTATGTACAGTCGACTTACATCACTGCAGATGTATGTATGTGATGATAATTATGATGAAGAATTACGATGATGTCATATCTCTGTGTCATTATATTTTCCACCCGTTTTTTATTCACAAAAATATTTAAAATTTCGTTTTCAAAAAATCCACAACAGCGAGGAGTTGATTTATATATTAATATTAGCCATATCATTGCTTTATGAATACGATTAATATTATTATGTGTAACATTTTAAATGTTTTTTTTTGCTGACGAATTGACTTAAACTTTTTCTGTACCGTTTTTTAATACAATATGTATAAAATTTTTGTTTCATGTTTATATTACACAATCTAAATAAATGTAACAATGATTTGATTTAGATTTATGTTATGGGAGGGGAGTCTCTTGAACACGTATGGACTTGACCAGGGCTTCTAACCCTTTCATTACATATATTTGCTACCTATAGTCGTCATATTGATGCAAGTATTGATGTTAAGCACAGAGGTCCTACATTATATTTTTTGTGAAATGCATTTTAACAAATTAGGTTGTTAGGCATTTATCTTTGATTAGCATTTATGAAAATAACTTGATAAAAAATGTTTTTAAATATCTAACCTTTAAAATTAAACAATTAGTTGTACTCTAACATTTTCACCAAAAATAATGTAGTTAATTGTAATATTATATTATTTACAATATCAATGATTTCTAAAAAAATAATAATGAATTACCATTATGTTTACAGCAAATGGTTCAAGGAGGAATTGATCCATATGCATCACTCGCGGCAGCGTCTGGTGCATTCCCTATGCAACAACCCGGACAAATGGCTGCAATGACACTTAAGATGGCCAATCCTCAACAACCAACTCTAATGCCTGCTACGGTGGCTGCACCTCAAAATACAGCTCCACTTCCACCTCAGGTGACTGTAGAAAATGATCCACCATTGCCGCCAATTGCATACTCACCTCCGACTGGGCTTAACATGTCCCTGGCATCTCAACAACAACAGCAGCAGCATCAACAGCATCAACAGCATCAACAGCATCAACAACATCAACAACAGCAGCAGCAACAACAACAACAACAGCAGCAGCAGCAGCAGCAGCAACAACAACAACAACAACAGCAGCAGCAGCAGCAGCAACAACAACAACAACAACAGCAGCAGCAGCAGCAACAATCTGCTGTTGGATTGATCAAGTCTGAACAACAACAAATCACAGTCACTACAGTATCACAACCGGTAAGTATTTGGGTTAAGGTTTAATATTTTGGTCAATTGGATGATTTGCTAATAACATTTTCCACTCACTCTGTAATGGCCTATTAGTAATATTTTTTTGTATAATCCAGAAACAGCTAGTTCATTTTGTCATATATTTTTTTTTTTTGTGATGTATAGTTGGAATGTACTAATGCCACAAATGCATTGACTACACCTGTGTCAGTATCTGTAGCCTCACCAACGAACATTACCAATGTTGGAGCTGGGTCCCCTTGTTCATCTAGCGAAGACAAAAATATCCAATCAAAGAGACTTCATGTATCAAATATACCCTTTAGATTTAGAGAGCCTGATTTGCGTGCCATGTTTGGGGTAATTAAATAATATTTTGTTTGATTAATATAATTTAAAATTATGATGTTGATTTTTATCTGCTAAATGTCCTGTATATCAATTATATAAACATATCTAATTATAATTACTTTGATATATTGCTTGTGTTTTGTTGTATACAAATTTATTTAAATTTAATGCTCTAACTTAAAGACTTAATTTTAATGCGCTAAAATGATAAAATAAGATGTTTTTAAGCTCTGAATATTAATCAGAATATTCTTTTATTCATAAATAAAATATTTTTTACAATGCAATAAAATTCCAAGAAAAACAAATAAAAATAATAGTTAATTTTTACTTTATATGATTAATTGTAATAGATAACATAATTTAATATAAGAGAATAATATTTATTATTTTCTGATTTATGAACTGAAAAAATAAAAATAAAATATTTAGGTAAAAGAAAATTAAATTAAATAAAACAATTTATACATGAAAAACAACAACATAGTATTGTATATTTTAATTAAGTAAAAAAATTACTTAACTTGTTACTCAAGTATAATTCTAATAAAATGAATTTACTCTTCAATAATAAGAGTAACTTTGTTACTTTTAGTTTACAAAAATTCAAAAAATTTAACTAGCACATAGTTATTTCTCTAATTTCTTATTAAAGTCTATCAAAAATCAATGTAAATGAAAGTAATGTATGAGTATAACTTGAACAATATGTTAAAAAAAATTGAAAAAAAAATGTATTTCGACAACAGTAAACTAAATAAATATAATGCGAGTAAATGTGTTATCCAAAAGTTAAAAAACTAAATTGAGATAAATTTAAATTTAAAATAATATATTTATTAGTTATTATAAATATTTATAGTAGTTTTTTCTGATCAATAAAAAATTATAATTTTTATTTTTAATATTTAAAATAGTTATGCGTTATATTTTAGAGGTTACTTTTTAATAGTAATTTTTCATTACATTTTTGTTACCTTAAAATTTTTTAACAAATATACGTAATATATAATTTTACTGCTATATACCGTGTATTTAAATAGTTTTTAACATATTTTGATAAGTATATACATTATTACAATAATTTATTTCACCATTGGCGTGACAAACAATTACTTCAAAGGTAATTGTTACAGAGATTTTTTTTTAAAAATGGGATTGGATGATGGTTGTTGGGTTTTCAAATACTAAATGTAATATGATCAGTGGCGTAGCCAGGATTTTACGAGTTGAAGAGGGTTAAGTGAAAATTAAACTTTGTTTTTTTTCTGTTTTCGTTATGTTTGTTGCCTTATTGAACTATTCAAGAACAAAGTTTAGTTGTAAACTTGTGAATATACAATAATATAAATAATACATTTATTAGACGTGGAAAGACAATGGCGAGGACTTTAAACACCCAAAACCCCTCCTGTCTACGCCACTGAATATGATACTCCATATTATGTAGTTAATATTGATCTAAAATATAATTAGATGTATTATATTATTATGCATTAATCATACTTGCAATTTATGTTGGCCATTCTCCTCACACATTCTTGTATCAGTAGTAGCAGGTTGGTCTTTGGTATATTTTTGCCTCTGGAGAGTTTCCACTTTGCCATACCAATGTATATCATAAAATATTTATTTCTATATCAATGTTTTTTTTGGAAACATAAATCTTCAATAAATCGTAGTTGAAATTTGCTGAAATTTTCATTTTTCTGTCACTGAGTAAACAATTAATTAAATATTAATTCAAATTTTATTTAATATGCACGAAAAAAATAAAAAATTACTCCTAAAATGTATTATTTTATTGTGTTAACTATTCTTTAATATTGAAAGATGCATTTTTCATTCAGTAAAAAGTTGTGTACATTACGTTAGAGAATTAAAAATCAAGAAAGCTTATTTATTTTAAACTGCATAATCTTAAAAATATTCAATTATGAAAACACAAAACTACTTAAAAATTAAGAACTTATCCAAGTTTATAAGATATAGGGTCAAAATAAATGTACAATAAACTTTTATTGCAAAAACTAAACCATCAATATTCATGTATTGTTGTAAAAATATTCATCATATGTAAGCTTTTAAAAAATTTATGTTTAAAATAATAATGTTTCTAGATTCCAACACATGTACAACTGTTGCATACAATTTTTAATCTATTTCAATTATTATTTTATTTATATATTTTGTATAGTTTCAAAGTAAAATTAATGTTGTGGTTTATTTGGTCTTAACATTATGTTATTTATTTTTTCAGCAATTTGGACCAATTCTAGATGTCGAAATTATATTTAATGAGCGTGGATCAAAGGTAATTATGGTTAATTTGAATCAATTAAAATATTATAATTACTATAAAATGTATATCTTGAATAAATAAATAAACCATTCACGCTTTTTTGGCAGCTAAGTAACTTTAAATAATACATTGACTTAATAATAAAACTATTCAATTAAATATAATATTTTTAATAATAAATAATTTTTAAATAGATAGTTAATTAAAAATATATCTATATGTCTTTAAAAAAAATAAAAATAAATATAACTATTATTGATAAATTATTTTACAACTTTGTCCTAAGGGGTTTAAAAATAAATATTAAATCATATTATTCTAGGGTGGTTATTTACTTTTGGTTTTAATTTTTAAATTAATATTTTAATATTTTAATTTAATAATAATAACTAAAATATAAAAATTATACTTAAATAATATATATTCTAGAAAGTTTATCTCCAAATAATATTTTTTTTAATTCCCAGTATGAATAAAAAAAATGCCTATTGAAGATTTTCATTGTACTGTGAGATTTTAGTATTAAATCCTTTTCTTTATACATTTTTCCATATCCAAAATGGACAATTTTTGGGAGCATTCACACAACGCTATAAGTAGCGCAATATTTTATGTTTTTACTTAACACTAGTTTATCATTGACACGTAATTAATAGCACAATAACGCTAATAAAAATGTATACTGCTTAAAAGTTCCACTTTCTTGTGAAACGCTATACATAATGAATGCTGGACTAACTTAGCATTTACTGTACTATTTTTTATTATTTTTTATTATTGTATAGTGTTAACTGTGAACGTCAATGTTCGCTTTCCCCAAACAAATTTAACTAAATAATTTTCATCTGAATTCTTTAAGATTAAAGTTAAAAACATTTAAAAACTATATAAAATTGAATTTACTACTTAGTAATAATAATAAACAATTTATTTTCTGTTGAGTTTGTTTATTTGCATGTGTTTTGTTGTGTGTGTTGCATGCAGGGATTCGGTTTTGTAACGTTTGGGAATAGCGCTGACGCTGATGAGGCTCGCGAACATCTTCACGGAACAGTTGTTGAAGGCAGAAAAATAGAGGTTTGCATGCAAATATTTATGCTATTATATATATTATATATATAAACATACTTATATTTTTACTTATAATTTATATGTTTACACTTATTACATAGTAAGACTAATCACGACGTAGAAACTTAATTGTTTATAAGCCATTGTAAAAACTCTTAATCATTATTATTATTATTATTATCATTATTATTATTATTATTATTATTATTATTATTATTATTATTATTTTAGTGCTTATATTTTCAATACTTTCCTGAACCATACAAAATATTTGTGTAATATAAAAATATTCATTTGTTTAATATTTTACTATATATGATTAATTGTTTTAAAGTTTTTTTGTCTTTTTATTTGCTAAATACATGAATAATATTAATGGTACATGAATGATGGAAGTTGGGAATTAATAGGATTTTTTTTTATTTTGAATGAAAAGTTCATCCTGTTTCATTCATATTGGCAAAGCATAATGCTTAGTTATGCCATTTTTATTAATGAATTTATCAAAATAGGAATTAATCTTTGTACCTAATATTTTGTACAAATATTTTTATTTTTATAATGATTTTATAATTTTATTTAAACTTAATTTTTTAATTAAAAACTATCTTAATGTTTATATTTTATTTATTTCAAAATACTTCATTAACATTCATGTAACTTGTATGCTGATCATGATATTTTTTTATATTTATTATGTATTTATCATTTTACTAATTAGGTTTATTGCTTTGAAACATGCCTATTACTACATAATATACTGTATGTATCACTTGTATATTGTTTAACATTTAGCTAATAATTTTATATTGATTACTGATGCTAAAATTAAGTAACCACTAATTTATTGACAAAAATCAGCATAGAAATTACTGTCGCGTGTCTTCTACTGTCCAAACTATATTGTACTGTTTGACTTAATCTTGGTCACAGTTTAATTGCTATTGTTGGTTAGATGGTGATAGTCCAGAAAGGATTTCTACTGTGGATTAATATATATATTGGCAATGATTATTTAAATTCTATGATAACAATGTATTTCATTAGCATAATTCTATTTAAACAAATTGTCAGTAATAAGTTAAATTTTTCTAAATGAAAATTTATTCAGCAAAGTAATGTCAAATTCAAATAATTCTTCTTATTAATATTTTATTAGAATATTCATTTTACAAGATTCAATACTATTATTATTTTTATTAATCTGCAAAATGTGTAGTAATATAAATAAAAATATGCATGCAAAAAATGAAAAAAAATAAATATTTTATTTGTATTGGGACTGAGATGTGTGTGAACGAATATTTGTTATTTGTTTGTTAGGTAGATAATTCTAAAGCTTCAAACTTCTAAATTATTTTCTTTGAAAGGTCTCGCAGTTTATTTTGTTGGCACTCAGTTTGTGAATGTTCGATTCAGAAGTATGGGTACTTATATAGTGATTTGTTATTACCACCAGCATCATTCAATCATATTTTGTTTTAGGTAATTTTAATTTTTTTAGTGTAGTTAATTTGAAAGGAAAATATGTTGCATATTGCTATTCTTGAATTTTTCAATAATAAAATATTATTGTAAATCCTTCCATGTATCAAGACGCTCGATTGTAATTGAATGATAATTTGCATGATGCTTCAGTCACGACTATGGGCCTGGCTGTAAAATAAATTTTTTCTTGTCTTATTCCTCTTTTAATGTGTCTAGTTCCTTGATTATAAAAACTTCATCGTTCCTATTTAAGACGTAATATTAAAAAAACAATAAATAAAAATAATGAAATCCCTATACTTTTATTTATACCTACACTTTCACATTCTACAACATATTCTGACTATTACGTGTTTCCGAAGGCTAGTATTGATTGTAGGTTACAAGCGTGATTTAGAGGTCTCGTGTCAAGCGTTTCTTTTCTGTGTTTCAAAGTGTCAGATTATTTGACATTTCTTTGCTGATCGGGTGAATTTATCCAGACGCACTACTACCCTGGGACGAATATACCAATTTTATTATGTCGTTGACGACAAGTAAGTATGCTGTAGACTAGTTACGATTTCATATAATATATTATGTATAATACGAAAATTATATTTTCGGCGTTATTTATGTATAAATATGTATAGATATCCGACAAATTTGTTAATAATGGAATTGGAATTCTAATATTTTAATTTGCTTTTATTTTAACTTTTTTGTAATTTACTTAATTTCAATTTCATTATCGCATAACGTGTATGTAATAGTTTTAAGTCAAATTTATCTTATTGTAATATTAGTTATAAATTATAATTATTATTAATCTGTGTGTATTAAATTATGTATTTAATTTAATGTGTAGGAACTTCATAATTATTTAAAATATTCGAATTTCATTTTAATATTTTAGGTGAACAATGCAACAGCTAGAGTGCAGACTAAAAAAGTAGCGGCTCCTTTGCAATTACCAAATGGTTAGTATTTTTTTTTAAATTTTTAATCTATAATGTAGCGAGTAAATTTTAAGAAATATAGTTTTTATTTTAAGCATATATATACATACATAGGTTTATTTTACATATAAAATCATAATATATAGACGAATATTATGTACATAAAGTACTCACTAAAATGGCTTTCTTCACTATTGTTGCTTATAAACATATTCATTTGGGCATTTGGCAATATATTTGATAATTTTTTTCTATGCTAATAGTAATAATATACATGTGATAAAATTCCAATTTAAAATTCATAAAATATTATTTAGAACGTCTCGAAATGAGAATTCTAAACACCTTTAATGGCTTTAAATAATTTGTAGGTATTTTTCTTTAAGTATCAGTACCGTGTTTAGTTTTTCTTTATGAGGTAGATAATAGTGTGATCTTGGGATATATAACTTCCAAAGTATATGATTCATTTATAGTTTTCCAATATGGTATTTACGTTTTGTTTTGTGTTTTGGTTGATTTCAATAGTATTACTCTCTAGAAACGGAGTATTGCCGAACCTTGGTGAGAAACTGTTTGCAAAAATTAGTGCATGAATCCAAAACATTGACCATATTTTGTCGTATTTCATGCTTAAATATTGTTTTATTTAGACGTTGATTTGCATTATTTAAAGAGCATGATATTTTACACGACCGTTTTATTATTTTTGAACACATCTCAGTTGTATTATGTGTTAGGTCACATAAATTGTGTTTCACTTAATTTGTAATATCTATATTGTAGTTACATAATTAAGTATTAACTAAAAGTTTCCTAAAACATAAGTAATATGAGTATTTAATATATAGTAGTTTTTTTTATAAATTACAATTTTATTGGTTGTTTGGGAACTTTATAAATTCATGCTTTTGTATACTTTTTTAAATTACGCTTTAAGTAGTTGCATTACATTATATGTATAATATTGTATGTATGGTAAATTAATTATGTATTGGCTAACATTTGGTTTGTTCTTATTGTGGTTTGCAGTTTGTGTTCAGTGGCCTGAGGGTAAGTAAACTGCCAGTGCAATGTAAAAAACTAAATGTAGGACTTGCATGATCTAACTAACATTTAAATAAGTAGTTTTTTTTGTTATATACTGTTCGTTTAGAATTTCTTAAAAGTTAAATGGCTAATTTAGATTTTGATTAGATCAAAAAGCATGATACACGTTACGTATACATATGAAATATATATGAATGTGCCATCGCGGAAATAACTGCAATAAATAATTTTTTGTTACGTCAAATCCTATTGCAGTATCTGTACTCAATAATAAAATATGTCGTCATCATTAAGAAATTATTATCAATACAATAAAAAAGCGTATTTAAAATCGCGTTTAAATAACCTCGTTTTGAAGTATTATATTTTGATATACTGATTTCTTTTAGCATGTAAACTTTAAACATATAATATGAGCTAAAGATAATAAACTACAACGATGTATAGGTACGAGGTGATTTTTTTGAGCATTCTCATTTCGTTATAATACCTACGTATTAATTTTGATTTTCACAATGTTTATATATACCTACCTATTTAAAGACCGTATTTAAAAACTTAAATTCTTACAGTAATCATGGGAATACAAATATTGTATTCAAACCTGCAACCCTTTTCTACAAATTCTTTAGTAAGTTGAGTATTTTTTTTTTCTTTGACATTTTTGTTTATTGCAGAATTCAAAGTTTATATGGTTCTGACATCTTTGTAAATATCAATAGTATTGTATAGTCTAGAATAAATCATTATCTTAATTTTATTAAATATCCTTATAAGAAGACACTATAACTGTGTATATTGTCTCCGTTTTACAAGTTCATACCTATGTAGAAAATTTTCGCTCAGCAATTCACACGTGTAAATTTGTTAATTTGAAAATAAGATAAATTGATTTATTATAAAACTTAACGGTAAACAAATTATTTGCGTTCTTTTATCAATTTCTTGCGATTGTTAAATTTTTTAGCGAGTGTTGTGTCTATCAAATAACTAACTTGCTTAAAACCTAGAGTTAGTTGAAACATAAATGTTAGGCTTAAATAACTAGTTCAATTTCTAATATTAATACCCACAAAAAAAAAAAAAAATTAATCGTTTGTATAGAAATTTGCATAAAAATTGAAGTATTTGAATTTCAAGAAAAAATGTTTGTGCTGCCGGGTAGAACAGATGTTAATAAATCCAAATATTCGAATACAAATGGTTATTCACAGGCTGTACGTACATTGTTTTCTTTTTTAACCTACCCACAACAAAATAAAACGTATTAACGCAAAATCGTTCATGTTGTTGAGTAACCTTAGAGTTGTCATTTATTACAAAAATGATAAAAGGTAATATTTTTGAGAGTTTGATATATTGGTTTAGTATTTTATTATTATTATTTAATTTTATATTACTAGGGCTCTAAATATAAAACAAAATACCGTGCTTCCAAAAATATTATCCTCTATAATTGTTGTAATAGTTGATTTTATGCTAATGCGCTTTGTCAAGTTGCGCGTGAGTCAAAGAGAGAAAACAGTGTGTTAACATAATATTAATAATAAGTAAAAAACTTTAGAAAATCTTCATTTGAATACAGTTAGTCGTTTAAGATCACGAAGGTAAACAAGTAAACGCGATGAGTGTGCTCAATAAATTGCCGTACGTGTATAATAATTTAAGAACGCTTTTCGTGGGGCACGGGCATAAAAAAAAAATAAAATGTAAAAACAAAATAAAATCATTATTCTAATTATAATGTCATCGCGCACACGCGGTATTTTTTTTCTATTTCATCAGCCGCTGCAGCAGCACTCAGAGGGGCAGCCATACAGCGCGGCCGGGCTGTAGCGGCCGCGAATGCCGTCAGGAACGCGGCCGCAATGGCTGCCGTGGCCGCGGCGTCCAACGGTGGATTTCCGTCGGTTGGCGCTCCAGGATTTAACGCTGCCAGACTGCCAGCGACCAGTATTGCCGTCACGCCCAATCCGTTACAAGCCATCAACACGGCTCCCGGTACTTACGCCCCGTGAGTTTAAAAATATTCATAAATTTATTATCTATTAATTTATTACAGATCTATTAATATTTATAATAAAAGTTTGAGTAGCCGCCGACATCAATACGGCGGCTACTCAAACTTTTTCTGTTTTCGAGTTGAAATTAAAATTTCAAGTATTAAAATATTTAAAACTGCTCAATTACATTGGAGATTCCCATAAGTGTTTTATAACTATATTATCAGTTATCACTGTTTAGTTGCGTATGATGAGCAGAGCTGTGAACTTAATTTTCGTGTTTTCATCGTTGTTTTCACGTCTTTAAATTAACGTTATTTGTTTGAATAATGAAATTGTTATAAAACTGGGAAAAAAAGTACAAACATCGTGTTACTTCACTAATTTTATACACAATGTGTTTCGTTAACAACCTATGTTTTATTTTTGTTTTGAGTTCACTTAGCCCGCATATGTTGTTTCCGTCTTACATACGTACAACATAGTAAAAACCATTTTACGCGGGCAAAAACCACTTAGGCACAGTTCAAATTAAGCGACCAAATTTCACACTAGAAAGAGAAGATTTTGGACTATGCAACATCTTTTTTTATTTTTGTCTTTATAACAACATTAAGAACTATAACAAAAGTTATTTAAGTTTTATAAACACAAAAATAATGAAATTTGAAACAATAAGAATTTTTTTGTATTAATAATATCAAAAAATTAAAAGCGTTGTTCGCAGTTTAAAATCTCTTTCTAGTGTGAAAATTTGGTTGCTTAATTCTTGCCCGCGTGAAACGGTTTTTTACTGATGTACGTTTATGAGACAGAGACAACATATGTAGATGAAGCATCTTCTTAAATTTCATTTTAATTATTATGAATGATTAAAACTTTCATGATTTACGTAGTTCTAAACTAAAATTAATTTTTTTTATTGAGCTTCTATGTTAAATTTCAATTTAATAGATTTTCTACATTTTATAAAGTTATACTTTAAACAATAATAACAATTTTTATTTTATGTATTTTAATATAACATTATTATCGATTAAACTTATGCAAAATTAAACGAATTAGTTTGTTTTATGTTTTCTTTTTTTATTATAGATTTATAATAGATAATCATTTCATTTTCTATTGCGAGTAATAATTAAAACTATGCTCATGCACAGAAAAATACATAAAATTAATTATCTGTGAGTCTTAACTAATATTATTCGTTATATTTTGATCTGTGACACATTAATATTAATTAATTTTAAATTATTGATAACAAAGCATTTTCATTCATATAATAATATTATCTGCGTGTAATTTTGTTCTAATTCAATTTTATTTTGTATTACAATACCATCGATTAAGTATTTTACGACGTTCGTCGTAGCTGAATTATATTCAAAATAACTGGTTTTGCAAGTTATGAAAATACGCAGATATTTCAGATAACCAGTTAGGCATAAAATTATAATATGTATGCACATACTATACAGTATACACTACACTGTAGTCATTTTGGTTTCAAATAACGTTGCATACAAATGAACAAACAAAAAAAATTCTTAAATTTTAAATTCTCGTCCAATACTGTAAAATAGGTTTAATCTCGATTTTTATTTTATATGTATAATAATTAAATTATTTTTTATCTATTGATACAGTATTGTATAAAATAATGTAAAATATTTATGTTATTATAAACCTTAAAAGTAATAAATAATATAATATATTCAACAACAATATTATGCTCCCATTTTTGACGACCCTAATTTTTTATTTATTATTTGAACGTAGGAAATATCGTGAAAATGTAGGTATCCTGAAATAAAATAACGAATAAACGTATTTATAATTTATTTTTATTTGACTAAGTTATTAGTAGGGGAGCAAAATTACTCACTTATTTTATATTAATCTCTTATCCAATCTAAATAATTATATAAACAATAAATTCTTTGTTGGATAATTTATTGTAAACATATACATTTATAGAAAATTGTTATTATTTTAATATGTTATACTTGAATGTTAAAGCAAAATATTGGCTATCATTTTTTTTTCTTATTAGAAGAAAAACTTACAATTTGTAATTATTTAATGGAATAAGTAAATAGAATAATTAGTAAATACCTACATTATAATAACAAGACGTAGAAACACATTATGAAGTTATCACTTTACAATAAACTTTTTAACAACATTATTAAGTATAATATTCATATTTATGAAAAAAAATCAGACATATTTATTATGATTTTGTGAAATAAAATTTTATAAATTTATGAAATAAGTTTTCAAAATGTATTGTTATTTATGATTTAAAATATTTTATAGTTACATAGATAGTTTTTACCGTTTAAGTAATATTTATGTCTTTAAAATAAAATAGAATAACGTTTACTATTATGTGTAAAAAATACGAAAATGAACGATTAATATCTTTTAATGGTTTTATTATTTGTTAGAATATTATTTATAAGTATATGAATTACTTTTTAATTATTAGTATTAGATACTATGATTGAAAATATTGAGAAAAACTGTAAACAATGTTTACGGCTTTTCATTCTAACCATTAGTAAAATGTGTTTCAGTGGAGTGTACTATGATCCATTTCTGGCAGCTCAAGCTGCAGACAATAACTACAGGTTACAGGTAATATTTTTGTATCATTTAAACTTTTTATTTTTTATATTAATCATTAATGAATGTTTTAAATATTTTATAAAAAAACATAAAGAACCTACCATGTTAAATTTATAATATATTATAATTTATATTTATACGAGTCGACAAAAATGGGAGGTTAAACATTGTCTTTTTTAAGCTTGTCGGGTTTCTCGCTCCACTTCATAAAACAATTATTTTTATTTGTTTTAATTCGATTTATATTCAAATGTGGTCGGTTATAAGCTCACAAATAATAATGTGCTTCGCGTTTAAACTGTATTTTAAGGCGTTTTATATTGATTATGAAAAGGTGACCCAATAAATAAATTAAGAATTAGTTGAACTGGTGTTGGTATTTTTTTTCAGGCAGGAGCAGTCAATGAGGTAAATGACGATTCATATAATATAATCACAAAACTATTCCTATCCTATAAAATTTTCTTACTCTTCATTTCTTTTTTTATTTTTAATGCATTAAATTACTATATCAAAAAAAAAAAAAAAAAAAACTTGCGTTCCTTTTCTATATTTGAACATGAACAATTTTCTCAATTCATTCCAATCGTCATTCTTGAAATTCGTTTTAGAAAAAAATCTTATGTGTAACGGATTACAAAGGCTGGAAAAGGGAAATATAACGTGAGTTTTATATACGAAAAAACATGACGAATGGCATGGCCGGCCTTTTTTTCTTGACATCACCGCTTCTATAATGTAGATGCACTGAGAAATCAGTGTCTTGATCAATATTTTATATTTTATTATATGCGGTTACAAAGTAATATTTGTATATACCTATATTATATTAATTTTATTAACACCAAATTCTGTTATTCGGAATTTTCCTGAAAGTTTGTACTAATCGGTTACATATATAGAGCGCTAATCATTATTTATTATTAACACTACGTTACATATATATTTTAATTTTTGCACAGTCTTTGATTCCTGTGATTTTTTTTGATTTTTTTTGTTTTTTAGAACATTAGGCATTTGTTGCCTGATTTTAGAATCAATAGCATTTATGAACATTAATGTCACACACACATTCACGTACACATAGTACATACGTGTTATATTATTAGGTATACATAGCGAAAGGTATATTATGCATTACGATCATTTTGACATTTAATTGAAGTTCATTTATAATATTATGTCTACGACAACAATAGCAAGCACTATAATACATCCCCGTTTACCAAGTCATATACATGTAATCCATTTACTTAGTTATGTTTAAATACGACGTAATATGATGTATATGTGTACACTTTTAAATGTTTACACTAATATATTGTTAGTCTATAGAGTGAAGGGTGAAAAAGATATTCATAAATAATTCAAACAACACGATTAATGTGGAAATGTGTCGCTACCCCGAAGTGGTAATTGGCATCAGTTGAGTATTTAATTTCTACGTTAGACTTTGATTGGTATAAGACTGTGCAACATATTTAGTGTTTATTTATTTATTTTTCGGTGGCGGAATCGTTTGTGAAATTTTTTATATATTGAAATGGCCTATTATTAAAAAAAAAAGTAAAAATAATAATAATAAAAAATTGCATGTGACAATATATATATATATATACGAGCACAAACTCACTCGCTATAACTATTATACAGGTTGAATTATCTAGTATGTTTAACAAATTTTTTTATCGTATCTATATTTGTACAAGGAAAACAAATTTGTTGTTTATTAGTCGTTTTTTATAACCTAAATAATATGTACCTACATAAAATATATACGTACATTTAATTATTATTATTATGTGTACATGTATATTGTATTTTTAATTTTAATTTAATTTTTTTTTTTTTGGGTTGCCTGTTATTTCTTTCTCCTTACATATATATATATTGTGTATTGGCTGTTTTGTTGGGGAAATATGTAGACGAAAAGCTATGCTTGTAGCGTTTCACTGAGAAAATAAAAATTTCAAATTTGGGTATTATCATAATAATTAATAACTCTACTTAATACTATATTAGCCTTGGTTGAAAATAAATAAATATATATATATATGTATATATTTGTATAATTATGTGTCTTATCATTTATTTGTGTTGCTAGAAATGTACTGCTATCTATTATAATATTAAATGGAACATTTTAGGATGATATGCCACATATTAGCTGAACGTACAGCTAACTGTTGCATGTGAAATGGTTCATAGTGGTTTTTTTTTAATTTTTTTTTTTTAAGTATCCACATATATATAAATTAGACAGTTTTCAAATAATTTTTATTCATAATATTATAAATTTATAAATTTATTATTATTATTTATAATTTTTTCTGTTTTATTCTCTTTACTATAACCGTAGGAATTATTACATCATAATTCGTAATTAATAATGAAATCTGGTACCTATATGTATGATTTTAACGCACGGACTTCGTCAATTTATATTCATAGATTATAGAATCATTTCACATATAAAAACATTTAAATGTAGATGAGGTGCCTGATTGTGGATAATTATTTTATTTATTTTTTCGTCTTGATTAACCAAAACCGTAGGTATATTATCTTACATTTCTAATAAAATCACAAGTATTTAGAGGTTTTTATAATTCGATTACACTGTACTGGACAAGTTATAATTTTATTTATTCCTATCGTCCTATTATTATCATATATATTATTATTGTTATTTTATATACAGTATACACTGATATATTATTATTCAGTGTGGCTTTTACACCTCGCGATTTTCTACTTTTCAATCGTATCCTTACTTATTTATTAACTTTCCTAAGTGTACGTTATTGCATCGCGGTAAATTTATATAATAGAATTAATATTGTTTTGTTTTTAAAAAATGTATGTATTTTTAAATTATTATACTTAACATGCATATTACCTTTATTCAATTCTTGTCCAATTTTGTGTTGATAAATATTATATATATATATATATATATACTTACAGGTGGATTTTGTTTATTTTGTATTTTACATATTTTTGTTGCTGTTATCGGTGGTTTAGGGTTAAAACGTATTCTACATAAGTAATAATGGAAAAGCGCAACTTAACGTTATATATATATATTATTATATTCATATAATCGTTATACGAGTATATTAATTGTTTTTCATTTACTAAGTACATTAAATACTTTTATACTATACTATATTATACTATATATATACAACAACAAGAATAATATATAATAATAATATAATGCTTGATTGATTCCGGTATAACGCGTCCACGTGTGATAATGTGCCTGCATTTTTTTTTTTTTTTTTTTTTGTAAATGTAACGAATTTTTGTTTTACTAATCGTTCCAAAAACAGGTAGCTGCCGCAGCAGCAGCCGCATCGCCCCTACTTAAGGCCGCAGCCGCAGCCCAAGGGACTCCAGCGTTGTCGTCCGCCGCAGCGGTGGCCCAAGCGCAACAGGCGTCCTACGTTGCCGCCGCCACGTATACGGCCGCAGCGGCTAGAGCGTATAATGCGGCGGCTGCAGCCGCCAACAACCAGATGGCCAACCCGGCGGCCGCCGCCGCTGCTACGTACACGGCTTTGCCAGCTGGGTGAGAGTGATAATAAACTATATCATGACGATGATGATAAATTTTATGTCCCTTATAAAGTATAATTACCTATATTATGCGATGATATTATTATTATTATTTCACCAAACACACTGCACGGCCGTCGTCATGATCAGTTAATCAGTAGCTCTATACATGTATATAATATTATGATTTAAATTTACGAAAATTACGTTTTTCACATCCTCATAAACGTACTCAAGGAGAGAATGGTTCATAGGATTAGATAGATCGCTTCATTATTGATTATAACATTTATAACGTGGCATAATCTTTTGTACCTATATAATTCTTAAAATTTGACCTCGGTGACAACAAACATAACTCAAAAAAGTATCAGATTTTTTTTTCATATTAAATACAATTTGAAATCGTTTTTTCTTTTGGTTGGTTTCACTGATTATTTATGATTTATTCTAGGAGGTATTATTTAACTACTAAAATAATATATCTAATTTAAAATTATATCTTTTATTTATTAAATAGATATAATTACTTACTTTCATACTTATAAGATTTGTAAAAAATATGCCCCCTCCCCCATAGCAAATTTCCAAGTATGCTTCTATAATATAGTAAGTCATAGCGAAGAGCTGAAAATATAATTATCATCGATCACCTATCAGAAGCATGTTTTAGGAACAAGTAACAGCGATTTTTCCCTTATAATTTTCCCGTTTAACACATTATACTTAAAATCTAAACACTCAATATTAAATGTTCAATTTTCATGAAAAAAAATAAAATATGAAATCTATTTATTTAGTATTTTTTAGTATTTTGTGTTGACATTGGAAAACGATTAAATTCTTTTAAAACCATCTCCAAAATACAGCTATCCATTTTCAGGCTATAAATAAATAGGGTATCCAATGTCATCCAAACATCACAATATAATATTTTTTAAATACTTAATTAAAATACTGTAAAAATTCACTCTGCTTAATACATTAATTTATATCGCTTTCTACTCTAAATTTAGGCTATTGCTGTGTGAACAGTTATACAATCATTATTTTCCAAACTTCTTATTTTTTTTAGTTGCAACCGCGTATAATTGATTTTAATTCGTTTAGATAATCACGCAGCTGTTTGCGTTTTTGAAACTTCGGGTTTTCCTCATTTTTTGTAGTCGTTGAGGGTATAAAAAAAAGTTGAGAGCCGGATTTGTTTAACTACTGAATTTTCGATCACTCTCGCGCAAGCCGAAATACAATACATTACGGGAAATTTGACAACATTAAACACTATACGAGTGGTATATAGTATATACCATCGTTAAAGTGTTGTTGCCGTCGTGTTGGTATTTTGACGTCACCAATAATATTATTAATATATCCAATAGATTGCGTGCTTATCCTATCAAAACACAAATTCATCATATTATTATTCTTTTCCAAAGTGGATAGTGTTCATGTAATTGTATCATATTATTGTATAGTGAAAAATAATTTTGATAGATATACGTTGCACACACATACCAATAAAACACTTGTAAATTTAACATCGGATACATCATATATCATACAATGTGTCACTTTACATTTATACATTCTATAATAAACCCATAATACACTGCTTCACATGTCTCGTTTTTTTTTACTTACACGTGTTACAATATTACATTTTCTTTATCAGATTTATTCGACAATATAGCGGTCAACATAAACAAATACATTCTTCATTCGTCGCAGTTTAACTGCGAAGACTAGTTCCAATAATGCCTGCTTTAAAACGGTAGAAATAACACCTCCATAAAATTTAAAAAAATAAAAAATATAGATACTAGGTAATTCAATTGAACTAATATTTTATTAAAAATCAAGTTTTATTTCTTTGTAAAACTATTTATTCCATATTCGATATTAACTTATTAATATATTTAGCGTTGAATCTCCAGGTGATACACCTATTATTTTATAATAAACTATATTTATACTGACTTACCAATATGCGTACACACACTTATTTGTTCTTAAAAATCTATTTATGCTGAATATGTCCAGTGTGGCTCATTATATTCTTAAAGATTAATGAATAATAATTAACGTGTGTATAATTGATTTCATATTTAAACAGCTTCTATTTTAAATGCTAATTGCATTATTTATTCAACTCTCGGATGGAACAATATCATCACACATTAAAATAATAAAATGTTAAAAGTTATGTTCTCGTACTCCAAAATGAATAGAATATTTCACTATTATTTATTATATATTACGTACATTAATTTTTTGTAATGATTATTAATAAATTAATATTCATATGATATTATTGTATATTTGTGTGCACGTCGTCTAAATGTTCGTATTAAACGTCAAAACCTTTACTAATACACATATTTTGTATGTTTTTCAAAGGGTAATGAAATAAAACACATTCATTATTCAAAAATTAATTTCATAATCTATTTATTATATTATATGTATGTATAGAAACGTTTAACTGACACGGCAATGGAATTGTATATTTACTTAGTTAGTGACGAGTAAAAAAAAACTGCATGCAAGTACATATTTTTCTTTTACTGTAGTATAAAAACTAAAAGCTTTTTATTTTGTGTTAATTCGTTCTGTAATTTGGCTTTGTATAGCTTATATATATTATTTGTTCATATCTTTTAGATAAAATATTTTTATTTATGTTTTGTGTAGTCTTTTTGGTTCGATGTAACTTCCGCATTTTTTACGTGTTGTGTGAATTTGTTTTGTTATACATATTATTTATTTATTTATATTTTTATTCCAATTGATTAATTATTGTCAACCAATATCATATTTTCATTTATTACGTTATATAAGGGTAAAAAGTCACTTCAAAGAAAAAATATTTATATTTATTTCGTTTATTTTTGAATTTTTAGTTTTGATTAGTGGTAGGTAGGTTAGGTTTTTTAAATTTTAAATAATACGAACTAAATCCGTATTTTTAACAGACATTTTACCATACATACCATACCTATACCTATTACGCGTGTATAAATCAATAACTAATTTTGTATTATTTTGTTTTTAACGAATGGATTTTTAGATATACTGGGCGTGAATACACCGCAGAATCATACTTAGCTAGTCACGGTATCGGTCCAGTCACTGGATACGGGGTCAGTATATTATTATCTTATAAACACATATATATTTTATATATAATTATTATAATATAATATTACAAAAATATTGATGTTAAGTTTTTACCGAAGTGCTCGTTCCTAAATATTTTACCGTTCAACCGGTTTTTCGGCATTCGAAACACGACCGCATGTCCACGATATAATAGCGATAAAAATGAATATAAAATATAAAATTTTTATTACAGATTTACAGTCCGACGCTATCTTAACATTACCAAATATTTTTTTTAAATTTAAAATAATTTATTCATCGTTTAATTTTTAATTGAAAAATGAACTCTACTGTTCACATCATTTATACTTAAAAACTTAAGGTATACGTGATAATCGAGTTATTCTTATACGTAAATCATAAATTTCATTTATCCGTATAGATTGATATTCAATAACCGTTTTCGTTGAATCGATTTTTTCATTTGATTTTTAGTGCCTTAAAGCAGGGGTGATCAAAATGTTAATAAATACATTTTATATAATTTGATAATTTTTTTATAAACGTATACCTTAAAAATTAAAATTCATAATAATAATAAGTACATTTTAATTTTATAAAAAATACACGAGCCGCATCTGACAATGACCAGAGCCACATTTGGCTCGCTAGCCGCAAGTTGGACACCCCTGCTATAGTGTAGTTTGTCTAGTTTCTAATAATTGCTGCTATATATGATAGTGCACAATAATAATTGACCTTAAAGGTCTCTATGTATATGTTGGTGAGAGCCTACCCTACAACAACGAAATACCAATGCGATATAATATTCGTTGTGTACCTACACGTTATAAAATACGATCGAGTAAAATAATATTATAAATAATAATATTGTATCAATGATAATATAATTAATGAATGTTATGTAATTTATGTAATCACACTGCTAAGGACGCATGAAACGTGTTTTCATTAAAATTAATTGGATTTATATCATGTTATCAAGTATCGTTCTATACGGTTTATTGAATTAATTTTATTACTGTCATTTGATGGACCATAAAATGATTTGCGAAATTATTTATCAGTGTCCGGCCAATGTAGTTATAAACGACGGTTGGCGCTAAACAATATTACATAAAAAAAAAAAAACTTCTTGCGTTTAATTAAAACGATTTATTTTCGTTATTTTTAGTTATCGGTGGCGTAACAAGGTCAGAGGGCTAGCATTTCAATTTACGTCTATTACCCCTATTCTAATCTACTATAAAAAAAATTTCATAAATTTTATCCTTATCATCCATCCTATTAGCATTAATGGAGCTTAGTCTTACTCCTCTTCCTTTCCACCACATGACTGAATAATTTTATCATGTTTTAAAAGAAAAAAATCAATCTAATTATTTACTTATACGCCCACTAGAATGACGACGTCAGTAGCCCTTTGTATAGATTATACAATATTATAATTTTGATGCTTATAAAATATAATATGAATCCACAGATCAGTTTTCAGAATAAAATAATAAAATATAAAAATAACTTAAAATGTATCATGTGCGTATAAAATGTATTTAACTTCACGATGTTTAAATTACCTACTAATTATTTAAGTTTTAAAATTAATGTTATTGTTTCTTTTGAAATTGTTTATGTCGGAAAATATTCGTGGATAATGATTAGTTTGTAGATTTATTATCTCGAAAAATTATGATAAGAAAAAGTATTCTCGTATTACCCTATATTATTTAGGCTTTACTAGTTATAAAAACATAATTTTTCACCAAAATAATTTTGATTAAGTATTAATTGATAAAAATAGTTTAACGAATTATATATTTGTAAGATATTATAGTTGAAACATTTTACTTTATAAATAAAATCTGGCCAAATAAAAAAAATCAAATATCTTTGTCTCAATTGTTTAATATTATTTTTTAACTCGTGTACACCTACTATATTGTATAATATAATGTTTTGTTTTTACATTTGATTTCAGCCAATGTACCGAAGTGGTTACAACCGATTCACCCCGTACTGATTATAATATATAAGATAATAATATTATCCTACGAGATTATTATATAAATTACAATTAATTATAATTTTTACTCAAACATATATGTGTAAGAAGGCAGCCATATAAAATAGTATTTATATATATATATATATATATATATATATACTATTATATCCATTGATATGCATATAAATTTGATAACGCGGTGACGAGATGAATTTAGATTATATTAACATTCTTCCATCTGGTACCTCCTCTCCCCAACCGTGTGAGAGACTTGGGCAATAACTTTTGTAATACTTTTTGAAAAATTATACCACATAAATATAATATATAATAAACGTTGTACTTATTACATAATTAATTAATAACTGTAGTCGTCTGCATTTATCTCTGTTACCGTCGTTGTCAATATTGCGTAAAAAGTATAAAAAGCTGACTACCCGACCCTTTCTACTAGCCTCCACTTCAACCGCTTAGATTTTTTTTAATAGTTAAATTATTTTAAGTATTAATTGTATATTAACGATTTAGGACTCAGAACCCTTTCCGAATTTTGTACATCCATGTATTTTGTACGCCATTAATTTGCTTATATTATTATTTTAATTGTTATTATATAATTATTATTATGATTCATTTTCTGATCCCTGCTGACCATCATTTGTTTCCTCTACTCCGTTTCCAAATATTGTTGAAATATATCGATAAGTAGTAACTATGAACAAAATATCATGACAAAAAAATATACATAAAAAACAAAAAAAAAAAAAATTACCTTAGATTAGAATGCTTACATTTGTATGATATACTATATTATATTTGTTATTATTATTATTATTATTATTTGACATAAAATCGTTCGAATCTCAATTGATGGACATTCGTGAGTTGGTGGGGAAAAAAAAGAATCTCGACAGTAATAATTAATTTTTAAAAATAATGATGGAATAGTAACAACATTGAGAATGGCGCTCGTTAAGGATGACGGACGATCAGTGAATTTTCTCTTTTCTAAGAGTAAAATTTTATCACCGTCGTTACCTTTTGATTCGTCTGTTGCTAAAACACCACCTTCGTCCACCATTATTTTAGCGTGTATGTGTGCGTGTATATATATATATATAGATATGTATGTATATTATTTTAAATTATAGGAAAAACGATCTGAATGTTCACCAACCAACAAATATATACTATATTATATATTAGAGCTCTCTCAATTTGTTTGTTTATTTATATGTTTTTTTTTTTAGTTCATTTTATTACTTATATATATAATAATATATTATAATTTTAAGTTTTATTATTACTATTATATTATTTTTTTCTTTTTTACGGAAGCTCCGAACAAGAAACATCACACTTAGAATTTTTTTTTTGTATAATACAATTATTATTATCATTATTATATATATATATATATATATATTACTATTTAACATTTCTGTACAATCGTATTTAGTTAATTTATTTATTCTGTTAGCGAGTACAAAATGATGTAATATTTATTTATGTATATTATTTTAAATAATGATAATAATAATAGCGCACAACATAATATTATGTACATTTTTTTTTCTAAACAAAAGAACCGCACAAATATTATCGTGTTACGAAACCAAAAAGAAAATAATTTAAATAAAAACAATTGTGTACCAATTATTCAATTGTTAATATAATATTATAAAATATATACTTTTAATCCAAATTTTGTTTATCCCCTCCCCTTGTTATTATTATAATTTGTAATGATATTTTATAAAATGAACAATTATTATAATATTTTATGGTTCAAATTTTGAAAATATGTTTATTTATATTTCCTTTTCCAGTCTAATACATTCCTTTTTTTTTTTTACTTAGTTATCGATCATAGTATAAAATAATAATCAGATTTGACATTTAATAGTATTGTATTTACCATTTAATATTTTATGTTTATTTAAAAGTGTATCTAACACTGAAATAAGTTTCTATGTCTTATCATCAATTATAAATACAATAGCCTATAGGAGTATAGTCTATAGATGCTATACTTAGTTATGCTAAATGAGATGGTAATAGGATTTTTGTTTAAATGTTTAATATTATGTCTTAAATCATTGTGATTCATACATCCATTCATACTTGCTTAGATTTTTAACATACTATGGTTTGTTAATATTAATTTTCAACTTAGACAAAGACAATAGAGATTGAAATAAAATATACACTATCAATTATTCATATATATTATGTATAAATATATTTTATTTTATCAGAAATAAGTTAATAAAATACTGTTAATCTCAAAATAGTTTTTTGTATACTTTTAATAAATATGAATATTTAAAAATAACAAATTATAAATACAATTTGTGAAACAAAAATGCATCTTAAAGCGATATTATGCCAGTTTTCATTATCATTTATTTGTACTAAGTATGTAATATGATACTATACGCATTAAGATTAAACCTGAATATGATTTTGCATTACATCAGTTGCCAAAAAAAATTAAAGATTAAATTTTAATATATTATAACTTATAAGTAAAATCATGATTTAAATTTGAATTTTATTCATAGAAGCATTATTGATGTTCTAAATATATAATAGTACACAACAGGTTATAAATTTTAGAATATTTATTAAAAGTTTATACTTGTAAATTATAATGTGTTGAGGTTTTCTATATGAAATAATAACGTTCAGTGATATTAAAAATAATTTAAGCTGATATACTTTTTTATTATAATAATATTATTTTTAAGGTTAAGTTTCTAGAAGTTTTTATTCTAGTATATGACAAGAATATATAAATCCACCATACAGTGCATTAATATAGTCTAGAATCTTTAATTGGGCTGCATATTAAACATAAAACACATGACAGAAATGCATTTTATCAATGGACATAGTTCACTTTAAGATGCTCATATTCAATAACACCAAAGAACTCAATAAAATCCAAAAACAAAAAAAGTTCACACATAAAAAAAAAAAACATTTGCATAACACATTAAAGAATTGTTCTTATGAAAATTGTCTTCTCCAAAATTAAAACAAACAGACATTGAAAGAATCTTACATGCGTTGTATTTCAAAAAGTTTCACTTCTGTATCATACCAAATAGGAGGATCGATGTTTCTAAAAAAAAAAAAAAACCATATTAATTTAATAAATATTGAACATATATAAACATTGAACCTGAAATTTATCTGACAATCATTATTATTCTACCTGAGAAATATAACAGCCCACATATAAGTACGAAACCAAGCAGTTGTTCCTGGATTAGACTGATACTTTCTTATGAGTATTGGATGAGGGACTGGTAACAGTCCTACTAACGTGCCATGTTGCAAGAACTTTAGAATTTCACTTTCATCCGTCAAACCTCTAAAAATAATATTTATAATATGTTCATTATTCAGTATTAACAATAACTAACCTCTACAGCGGTTAATATGAAATTTAAATATGTCATGGGAAATAAATGATTATGAATTGTAACAAAAATCAACTATATATAAATCATTATACTTGTCTATGCATATTTTTTCTACTTGGGGCACTAGCACTTGCAGTAATCGCATAATTGTTTGCAAAGGCAATTTTTCCTTCCAAGATCGTACCCATTCTGTGGTTGGAGCCCATTCTGCATCGTTCTAGACATACGCACACACAGTTAAAAGTTAATATACATAAGTATACAATGGTTTTAATGGTTTTTAATTATTATAATGGGCTATATGGTAAAGAAAGATTAAAGAAGAAAAAATTTACTATATTAAATTGTATTCCTTATTATCTAAATACTTCACAATACCCACATAACACAAGAATATTAGTTAATTATTTTATTAATGATTTACATAACTTTATCAAACAGCAACATATACGGAAAAAAACTGTTCTATTTATATTTCAAGTTCTAAATTATACTAAAATAAATATGTATATTATGTAAAAAGTTAAAAACCTTAGGCGACGATGTTGTTGGAGAGCTATCTCCTTGGTTAGAAGACTGTTTTGTTATTTCCTTTGTCATGCCATTAGACATAACCAGTTCAGCTGGTAAGGTTAAATTTCCCGGATGAGCACTTTCTCGTTCTGTTATTTTCATTACGCCTGACATTCATTACATTACACCCAGTTAGCAAAGGCAGAACAAATGCATGTTATAATTTAGTAGCATCATAAGAAAATAATAAGAGTCCGGCTTTTTATAGGAACACATATTATGATCATATTTTTAAACATACAAAGCACATATATAAGTTAATTTTGCATATTACAAAGCAATATTACTAATTATTACAATTTACACTCACCACTTATTTCAAGTACTATATTTTTAATTCCATACTTAAAGAATTTGAAAAGCATATTAAGTATAAAAGTTTTAGGAGTTTTGATCCAAAGTTTTAAAGTTTTAAACAGCTAAGTCCAGACTCTAGTTATAAAATGGTTACATGGTTAGTTGATTCTAAACAGTCTTCTTACCAGGAGTATCGGGAAGTGTGGCGTTGAGAGTTCCAGGCTCGGCAGGCAATGCAGGAGTAGATCCTTCCATACTAGGTGTTTCAGTAGCAGCTGTTAGACTAACAGAGGTAGTGGCTTGCATATTTCTTTTTGCTTTTTTAGTTAGTGATTTGATAATAGTATTGTAATCAGTTGGCAAGTTTGCTAAACTATGAAAAACTTGTCTCTTGCGAATAATTGTATATACCAAATTTGAATTACCTAATGAAAACAAAACTAGATTAACATATTAACATGATAAGTGGCAATAAGTACTAACCATCAAATTGGTATTGTATAATATTATTGAATATTTCCAATAAGAAAAAAGCAAGGTGATTGGCAGATGGCGAAGAAAACAAAAACCATGGAGTTGTAAATGCATCCACCAAATGTAAAAGTTTTGTACTCGATACCATTGACAAGGTCTTTAAATATGGAGAAACTGTAAACAATAACACAACAATGTATTATGAAATTATTATTAATTCAAAGTTATATTGACCATTCACTAGGATTGTGAGAAGACAGTCGAAAAGTGGTTGCATTCTGTTATGCCCAGTTGTGATTATCTTATGAAACACAATAATAAGAAGATCTGCATGAGTACCACTGAATACTGGTATGTCCATGGGTATTGTTGAAGTATATGGCTTGTTGAGACGTACTCCAAAATTTCTCTCACCACTAAGTAATAACAAAATAAATACTCCTATGTGCATAAGACCAATTCGAGCTGAAAAATAAAATTACTAAAATGTTAAACCAAAATGTAAACATTGAGTAATTTTATATTTTTTTTCACTTACATTGATCTGCTCTGGAATCATTTAAATGGTATAAAATTGGTACTAAAACATCAAGGACATCACTACTTTTGAGTACAAAATATAGAAATTTCTGTATCAAATGAATAAACAATTAATTTTGATCTCTCCACTGTAAATCAAGATAGTTTAAACATTTACTTTATTAAATTCACATATTTTCCAAAAGAATATTAATAACTCTTGGTGGAATTGCACTTTTTTGGTGGAATGTGGAAGATAAGTCTGTCGTAAGGGGTTCATTAACAACCTTGTAAATCCACTCAAAATAAATGAAAAGTCTTCATCTCGATGAACTCTTGATAAATAATTGATAAACAAATTATCTATGGCTGCTTCGTCATTCTACAACACAGTATAATAACAATACAAAATACAATGCATAATATTTTAATATATACCTGTTGGACATCAGAATCCAGAGCGACGATAAGGATTTGTAGACATATATCAACTAAAGGTTCAGTTGTGTCAGCAAATAAAAGATGATTGTACGGAACACCCATGCCTATAGGATCGTAACCGCATACAGTGTTCAAAAGAGATGTAAGCATAGGTAATGCATGGCGATTTTCAGCTGAAGTTACATACTGCACCCATCTATTACCATCTAAATGTAGTTTATGTTAAAAATAAGAACTTAAATCAAAATACTAGATGATGTTTATTAATAAAACATCATACATGCATAACATAGCAAATTCACGATTGGCTTTATTAGTTTTAATATTAGTGAAAAATTGGCTTATTAACAAATATGAGGATAAATTATTGTCTGTATTTTGTTGGAAATGTGTTTTACTGCTAATTTAATTTTCAGGCAAGCAATGAGCATTTTTAAATTGTAATATTTTATTAATTCATAACATCAAAATATTCATTAACACAGCCTATGAAGATCTGAACCTAAATTTGCTATGTTAGTTAAATAAAAAGTAAGATGGAGATAACAAATATGGGTGTAAAATCTTCTTAACATATTACTTTGATTTGGTGAATAAATAGCTTGACTGAAACATGTCAACAATAAACGCAGTAGTTCAGTGCGATTTGATTCAAAAGTTGCATTTTTTACAGGAGACTGTGCAAAACCCACTCCTTTTTCCCAAATATATTCACAACTATCTACTGCATGTAAATCTTCTGCTTTATCCTAGAAGAACATGGCATAAACTGATTACAATCAAAACTGTACATCAATAATTACAAACTTATTTGTTTAAATATATATTTTAAATCAAAAATGTCATAAAATTTAAATATACAAAAGTAAAGTGTATGGTTTATGTTTACTTCAATATTTAATATTATATTTAATTTGATTATTTTAGAGTTAGCTATGAATTTTTTTCATTACTGTGACACAGTTTTAAAATAAAATAAAGAACTGAAACTTACCGGCCCAGTTTTACGATTGGATGCGACTGTGAAATCTGGGCAAAATAATAAATCCTGAAAACAAAATCTATGAACATCTTATAAAACAAAATCTTATTGTTGTAACACATACACATATAGCACTACATAATGAATGTGCTAATGGAATGGGTGGATCACCTTTGCCGGCTGGCAAACTGGACCAGAATATGTTCTCCCAATCTGGTTCCTCAAAGACATAAGGGAGTATTCTTGTCAACAGTCGTGAACAGTTCAAGACTAGTAGATGCAACCAAATAATAATAATAATAATAATAATTAAGTAAATTAACAATAATATTGAAGCCCACAGTCAGGTGATATAAACAAGCAAGAATTTACCTGTATTTTGATCCTGCTGTGTGCGACAGCTGTTCTCCACAGCTCTGACAAACTTCTCGACCGCCTTGTAACATAGTGTGGCTAAGTTTGCTGGTACATCCTCTCTAAGTAGCCGAATTTCAGAAGCTGGAACAAGAGTAAACACGTCCTGCACATTGGTTACGGTCTCTGACCAGAACTGATCCCAAAAGTCATTGTCCTCAGAGCTAATGGTCTGTGTGCAAACATGGATGCGCTGTTAAAAAAGACACATACTCACATTGTGGTTCGCACTTACCTGGGACTTAGAGGTTAGCTGGACAACGGCTTTTCGGAACACCAGTTTGGTGTCAGCGTTACCCATTTCTGGCTATTTAATATTCAGGGGAGGAGGTGGATTCTGGCGTAGGCGGCCCTAGTATCCAGGGACGCAGGTCACAACAGTCCTGTAGACGTTGATATCGCTGTCACTATGTCGAGGGACGTGGGAATAAAAACATTGTGATTGCTGTAATTACAAATTCCAATGATGATAATTATTATTGTTATTACTTATTAGTTATTATTTATTATTCGATTCGGATTCGGTGTCCGTCCTGTTCTGATTTCAGTTATCACTTATCTAGACGATGACGATACAATAATTGATAACGTGGTGTTTGGATGAGGCTTATCAGCAGAAAAGTTTTTATCTGTATTTTGTAGTTTTGTACGTAAATCTATAATAATATCAGCTACAATTCTTTTTCTACTACAAAATTACAAATTAGTAATTCGTGCCAAAGTGGGGGAGTACGGATGTTGTGTTTTTGATTTTGCTGCTTAGACTGTACCCTGAATTCTGAAATGTTTTTCCATATCAATCTCTCCTGTAATTGATATACTTTTAACTTAAAAGTTAAAAATGTTAATGCAAGTTTATGACATCCTTTATTCCTTTATGATGCCCTTATCCTAATACCTTGAGTGGACAGTTTCATTTAACTTTCCTTGTTATATCACTTATAGGCTATAGCCCTACCAAATTACGTTCACTGCCTCCATGGATACAATCAATACCACTTTTAGATTATTTAATATTTATTGTATACAATTTTTACTTGAGCACCTTGGTAGTTGGTTTACAGATGCATCTGTTTTATCCACAACCCAATGGGTAAGGCTACGCTTAATTTCTCTTTAAAGATCTAATAAAATTAGTTGCTGATCTATTTACATATTCATCACCTATGTGTCTTTTCACCGTGAAAATCTGTACTATTCCAGAAACTCTCTCTCCCGTATGTATATTAACTATGTAATTAATATATTTCAAATGCTTCCCCATTGTTTTAAAAATTTGTATTTCTCTACAATCTCTCATAGTCTCATCACTAAGTCTATTATTATTTCTTTTAAATGGGTTCTTAGGCATGTAGTGAACACTGCTAATGAGCACGATAACTCGTTGACTAACTCCACCGACAACCCTTTTTCCACTGGTCCACGGTTACTGTTATTATTCTGATTTAACCCTTCTACACTATTCCCACACCTGACTTAGTTAGATATCTTGGACTTAAATTGGATAAGCGTCTCACTTGGAATAGCCATATAGCCATATCCGTAAAAAAAGACTTGCCTTAAACGCCCGTCTTCGCAGACTACGAACGCTACTCACAAATAACAAACACTCCAGTTTAAAAATTAAAGTTCTCATGTATAAAACATTACTCAAACCTCTATGAACATATGGTCTCCAACTATGGGGTACAGCAAAAGCTTCCAATACTAACAAAATTCAATAATTTCAGAATATTGCTCTTCGGAAAATTACTAATGCTCCATCCTTTGTTTCGAATTACACTATACATAATGACCTGTCGATTAAAACCGTGACAGAAGAAGCTATACGTTTCTAAAAAATCTTTTATGCCTGGCTGCAAACACCAAAGCCCACTCATTAAAAACCTATCCACTCAAACATTACCTGGCAACCCCAGACGTCGATTAAAAAGGAGCTGGTGCCGTGACTTGCTGGGGAACTAATATCAAAAATCAAAAAAAAAAGAAGAAGAAGAATCAGTATTATAAATATAGCTAGTTTCATACAACTTCCAGTCAAGTAGTGGCACTTGTGAGTGGTTTCTTACTCATGTACTCGTGTATTATTGTAACTTGTAACCCTTATCAAATATGCTAATTGTGCATAATTGTACAGATTGTATATATTATTGTGTAAAATAAAAAAAAACCCTTCTACACTGTCATTTGAAACTGGCATCAATATTTTTCTATAAATTTGCTAAATTTTTCTACGGTAATTTTAGAATTAGCTATCACCTGGTCTTTCCATATCATGAAAAATAGAACGTTTTTTAATACTGACACTCAGTTCTAACAAATTGAAATTGGTATCAAGACTTAGTTATTTAGATATAATACCTATGCATATTATATCATATGATGTCATAAAATCTTTAAATATTGAAATTTTTATTTTAAATTAAACTTATACATTTATTTATTTTTATTGAACTTACGCCTAGCGATTAGAGCCATTAGCTGTTATAGGGGTAAGGTTGGTACGGTAGTTGTTCTTACGATTTTTACGGTTGATAGTAAACGTGTGTATGTGTGGCAAGGTTTTTTAACCATTATGAACCCGGATGGTCAGTGGTCACCCATTTGGAAGCTAGTAGCTGTGGCCGTTACTTACTCCCAGTAACATTTCGCGGTAGCAGCTAACGCGCCATGCCAAGCCACTTATACATTTATGGTACAAATGTAGTACTAGAGTGTTACACCTCATAATATTATGTAAGAAGAACAAATAAAATTTGAAATATTCATAACGACTTTAAAAATAAAATTAAAAGTTAGAACTTATAATAAGAATATGGAAAAGATTTAAGTCCAGTCATATATTAATTTATTTTATTTTATGTAAAATAATAAAACTTAGTATTTAAATGTATTAATTTGAAGAATCAATGATACCAATTAAAATATTTAATGAAAATAAATATTACTATATAGTTATTTTACTTTACTTACACACAATTACTTGACATTTAGATGTATTTTTGAAAAATACAACATATTTATTATGTGCTATCAATTGTGTTAAATAAATTACTAATGTCTAATAAAATTTTTACAAAAAATTCAAAAATATTAAATTATAGACATGAATAATAATTTGATAATAGAGTATTATTTTTATTTCTGTTCCCCTTCAACTATTTAAACCCAAATAATAGTTCATTATTTGATTATTATTTATAGAATATTTTGTTTTGACTATTATAATTTAACAAATTAACAACATTTAGTAATTACAAATACAAATTACTAATAATACTATTATTATCAAAATAAATAAGTTTAAATTAAATTGTAATATTTGTGATTCTAAATCAAATACAAATAATTTTAATGTAAAAAGTTGTATGTACTAATGCATATTGTATTTTAAAGAAAAATTATATAATTTATTTTAAATATTATAGACATAGCTTAAAAAAAAAAAAAAACAACATTATTTAAATGTTTACAATGTACAAAAATAAGTATATAATAGTGAATATTAACTCTACTTCGTCCAACTAACTTTAGGTATGTCAAAATGTTCAGTTAGATTATCTAAGTGACGATTAAATTCTTCAACTCTTTGTTTATGCGTTGTTGATGCAATTTTCAAAATTTTTTCTTTTTGCTAAAATCAATCAACCAATAAGAAATAAATTAGTTAAATACTTTTTGATTATTAATAAAACAATAAATTAATGATAAAAATACTCAACCAATTTTTCCTGTTGTTTCATGAAAGCTAGTTCAGCCTTAGTAGAAGGCACATGGTATTCTTTGGATACTTTTTCCTGTTCTAATCCTTTATTAACTTTTTCTATTGCTTTTTCTTTATTTTTATTTTTCTTCTTTTTTCTGTAAAAATTAATACAATATATCTATTAAAATACATTTAATAAATTAACTAATACTAAAGTGAACGAACGTAAATGTTAAGTGATTATACAACTTTATAAAGGAAAATTGGAAAATAATACCATTGATTCTATGATCAATGGTAACACCTGTTTATTCATAAAATTTGATGTTAAATGATTCTACAAAATTATTAACCAAGAAAAAGCAAATAATCATATGGATAAATCATCCAGATGCAAGCAATAATGTTATATGTACCTATATCAAAGAAAAATTGTTAATTATATTCTCTTTCAATGATATTCTTATAAACTATAACCTAAGATTTCTTAATTTATTTATTTTTTTTTTTGTGTGTATGAAGACACTTTCTAGTATAAAAAACGCACTAATCACTAATCTGGAGGGAATGTTTAAAATAACCAGGGGAAAAAATATAAGAATATTTGTTAACATTACAATATTACTATTAAAATAATTTTTCGATAAATTTAGTGACCAAAATGTTAGACAGTGTTTGCTAAAAAAGATTTTTTACCATAATCAATGATTTATTAAGTTCTAGTTTAATACATTAATTAAGGTAATCTACTTAATAATGAGATCAACTCAATATCTACTGTACAGCAGTGGTTAATCACTTGACAACTTTTTTTTTTAACTGAAATTTCAGTATTTCACATCAAATTTATCTGATCATAAAACTTTAGTTGTTGAACAAAAAATTTAGGGGATAAAAAGCTGACTTAGATAGATTTTAATGGGTATTAAAATGTATTGAACAATTTAGCAATTACATCACAATATAAAGTGTGTTTTAATGGAGGTACCAAGAGCAAACAATCTATTAAAAATTATTTCGGTGATAATTTGTTGTTAAAATTATTTAATGCTTACTAAAATATTTTTTTATATCTCCAATCCAATTTTTCAAAGGTTAAGTGTTTTTGGTACCTTTGATAGTACATTTTTAATACAAATATCTTTTTGGATTGTTGGACAAACTTTATATATCATATCAGTAAACAATTAGAAAATAGTTTGCTAACTGTTGGCTTTTGTTATTTCAGCAAAAACTCGTTTACAATTGTAAATTATTAAATTTATAAATTATGAAAAATGCTATACGTTTAAAAAAAAAAATTAACAGAGAAGTTATATTTCGAATCGTTCTTATAATACTTATTATAATTTATAATTAAGATCCACTTACTTTTTTATTCCTGAATCATTTTTCAATTTCAAACGTCCTCCACCGAAACACTCGTATTCAGACATGGTGTAGGAAATTGTTACACAGATGGACGATGGACCTGTTCAAGTTAAATCGTTTTAAGAATTCGGTAGTCAAGATTGTGTTGTTATGATTATTAATTATTATTTAATATTTATTAATGTTATTAAAAACAATTTTTTAACATTACGTTTCTTTAAACTTTTATCATAATATACAATCGTCAATATTATTCCAAAATCTAAATGTGATATCAATAGCAAATTACTTATCAGCTATCAGTGCAGCATTTTCACTGTTTGAATAATAAATCGTCGTTTGTTTATGGGTATGCTCTGTGTTGATATATGTAATGTTCAAGATAATATTCTGACCTAGTCCGTATCGCTATCATATCGCCTACCGTCTCAACACTCCTGTATGGTACTATATTAATTTGTAGGAAAAGTGGGAACCGCCCGTCAGCCACACCCGTATGGAGTATAGATTATAGAATCATCGAACTTCGTGGAGGTTTTTCCAATACTCATCGTCCATTGATTATTGTCATCTGGCGATAATTTTTGAACATCACGTCTGCTAAGTAGTTATTTTTCGTCGCCGTTTAAAATATCTGCTACAACCGCAGGCTTTTAAATCGCCTGTGTATCGGAGAACGCGCACCTCCGAACCGTAGCCATGGGATCGCTGTTCCGTAGCGAGGAAATGGCCCTGTGCCAGTTGTTTTTGCAGAGTGAAGCTGCTTACGCCTGCGTATCCGAACTTGGAGAATTAGGATTGGTTCAATTTCGTGATGTAAGTACACAATATATTATAACAGCTATTTTTTCTTTTAATTATTATTAATCGTGTTTTTATCCTTTTCATTTGGTTTAATCTATGGTTAGTTAAATCCTGATGTCAACGCTTTTCAACGGAAGTTTGTTAGCGAAGTGCGCCGCTGCGATGAAATGGAACGTAAACTGCGGTACTTGGAAAAAGAGATTAAAAAGGACGGAATACCCATGTTGGATACGGGTGAAAATCCTGAGGCTCCTCAGCCCCGTGAAATGATTGACCTTGAAGTAATTTATTAGTTCATGGCATATATTATTATACCTATATATTTTTTTGTATACATTTAAATAGTTGTCACTTAAGAGTTATTTTCTAGTTTCTACTCAAGTTTTATAATATAAGATGATAAGAATTAAAAAATACATTTTCACTATAATCAATTAAATAATTTAAAAAACATAAAATATATATAAATTATTATTTTTTAAAAATTTATAAGTTATTTTGATTTGTACATTTTTTTTTTAGGCTACTTTTGAAAAATTAGAAAATGAGTTGAGAGAAGTAAATCATAATGCTGAAGCCTTGAAACGTAATTTTCTTGAGTTAACAGAGCTCAAACATATCTTACGAAAAACTCAAGTATTCTTTGATGAGGTAATTTTTTTTTAATCTTAATTATAAATATTTGAAGTTATCTATATTGAAGTAGGTTTTTACTATATAATAATAATAATCAATACCTAAATTAAATAAAAAAAATGTTAGATTAGTTAAATACGCATTTATGCCTATTGCTAATAATCAAAATAATATTTCAATAAAATGAAAATGGTACCTAATTGTCTAGAGATTTTATAAAAAATAATATATTATTATATTATAATGATCTCATAAGTTTCAGTATCTGGCAACATCAAATTAAACAGGAACCACCTCACCATAATTGGATCTTAAAGTTTTCATTTGGGTTTCTATCATTTTCTTACTTCACTGCATTTTTTTTATTCTTATGATTTGATTAGCATTTTTTTTTCAAATTTTTAATTGCTTGAAAGTATTATCAAGTTGAGCTTTATTTGATAATTGCACCAATGTAGAATTTGTAAAATGTTCCATTTAGTTAAAGTTAATAATAATAAAAAAAAAAATCATAACTATTAATTAGGTATTTAATTTGTAAAATTATAAATATGTTTGAATTAAATAATTATACTTAAAACAAATTTAGTAGTGATTCTCTAGTGCCTGGGATAATTTAACTAAAAAATATTATTTATTTAATTTAAAACATTTGTCTAAATTATATCCTCCCACTTTATTAAATTTGTTTAGGATACATTTATTAATCTTCTAAAATTTGTTATTACTTAAATAATTTAAATTTTTATATTTTAAATAGTATTTGTATTAGATAAAGTATAAACTATATTTTACTGCTTATCATTTGCATGTTTGCATATTCTGTACAGTTAACATAACTGCACTTTCATTCTCTTTTAACTATATCACTATTGAAATAAGTTATTGCTCAATATTTTTTTATATTTTCTTTTTGTTGATTGTGAAATGAAAGAGAATAAAAAATGATGAAGATGTCATCTATTATATGGTGGAGGTAAAATAACAGAATACGTGTTATTTGACGGTGAAGAAATATGACTTATTTAAAAAAAAAAAATTAAATAAATAGTGGTGTGTTGCCTAAGTATTGTAAATATATAAACTTTTGTTTGCAATGTTGACTAGTATATAATAATTAAAAAAAATATTGCATTCTATTATTACTTTTTTATTTTATTTAAGTTATTATTCAAAATATTTGTATTTCAATAAATTGGAATATTAATAATATTTTTTATTTTTATATTAATGATGAAAATTATTATGTTTAAAATACTTAATTATTTAGTTCTTAACTTCAGATTAAATTTAAAAATGAATCTTTATAAATTAAATTTTTAATTTTTCAATTCTATTCATATCATAGCAATACATGATATCTCATAAAAAGATAAATTGTATAAATATATTATGTCAACATAGCAAGATAATTGTCATTTAAAGCATGCATTTTTTGGCGTGGGTAATGTAAGTTGTTTATACAAAATTAAACTTAAACGATTGAATTATATTATTTAGTTAATACGAAAATAAATATATTTTAATAATAAGAATGTATTTTGAGCTTTAAAAATATTTATAAACTATCTAAATTATTTTTTAAAACTATTATACAAATTATATTTATTTTCAATAATCACTTCATAGCATTTGTTTACTTTACACTATTGTAAAAAGTGAAACTTGAAATATAAAGTTTCTGCTTAATTATTTTATTATTTTATTGATCATTTTTATTATTATCTAGTTAAGCTTCTCATTTTATTTGCTTAATTTTTATTACTGGTAAGCATTAAAAATGTTATTATATCTAAAAGTTCTATAACACTGATTCAATACAGGTTTATGTATTATGTTTACTTATTTATTACATTTTATTAAGCAAATAATTATATTATTTACTCAGAAATAAAATAATGTAATGTATAATATTTTTTTAATGCTTGCTTTTTCATACAATAATTTTATCATATACTTATTATAACAAAAATATTTGTCTGGTGGGGTGGTGTGTGTCCGTATGTCGTCCCTATGCGCGCGCGTGTGTGTATGTGTTGCCAGACTGAACAGCAAATGGGTACCGCGGTTGCTTCGCAGATGGCTGACCCAAATCGGGAGGACGAGCAAGTGACACTGCTAGGCGAAGAAGGACTTCGTGCCGGCGGTCAAGCCCTCAAACTAGGGTACGGTTTTACAATATTTTCATATGTAGTATTGGTTTTAATTGCTATATGCTTTGATATTCTATCCAATGCAATCATGTAATCTGTGGGATTATAAATATACTATTATTTAGGTATTCTGCTCGGTTGTTAATCTGGGGTTCAAAAATATTGAAAAAATCAGAGTCAAAATTTGAACCAGAAAAGGTTGGGAACTACTATTTTAGGTAGATTCTCTAAACGTGTTATTACGATCTTGTGTGTTTATTGACTCATTCTATTTTAACACTTTGTGAATTTTCTTAGTAATTAATATTATTCTTATTAGTTAAAAAAAGTCAGTATCACAATATTTCCAATACTATTTTTTGCAATAGATAGATTTGATTAAATTTTCTAATTCAAGTTGTTTCAATTATTTTATTTATTTTTACTTATTGGAAGTTATATATTATATAGTCACATAGATTTATAACAATACTTAAAACTAGTTTTTAGAAATCTGCTTATAACCAGCTGAATAAAACCATATTTTCATTTTCTGACACTTTAACTATAGCTAAAACCAAGAGTTTGAAAACCAGTTTAATTATCCATGCTATTATTTCAATACTGACGTAGTTGAAACCTTAAATCGTTTCTTGTAAATTGTATGAACAAGATTTTTTTTTTTAAACAATTTTGGTTTCTTTTTTAATTTTTGGTTATATTTTTAACCTAATTTTAAATTTGTGATTTCAGTTATTGTTAGAGTATTGAAAAATGAAAAAACCAAGGTCTTATTTGGCTTGTTATAAACATATTTTAACTCCTGATTTATATATTACCTATTGTTATGTATTATATATTTAATAAGGATAACTGTTAACACTAATTGGCATCATACATTTATTTTCTGAGTGTTTATTATTGAAGTATTAAATACATAGTAATTATTAAATATATTATAGGATTACATTTTTTTTTTAAATATATAAAGAGTGTTTTCAATCAGCATTTTCCCATAAGTAAGTTTCTACTCGTTTTTATTTTTATTTTATGACATATTCATAAAAACTATTCTATTACAACTGATAAACTTAAAAAAATTATTTGTAAATACCATGCCATCAATGAATCAATTAAATTTTAAAATTATTTATAGTATATTTTAATATGATTGAAAATAATTGTTCTATCATTTAATGGCAATTTAATATTATGTTTATAAATAATTGTGAATGTATTTTTTACTAACCATGAATATCATTAAAATATAATATATTGCATTGTGTTAGTTTGTAAATAAGATTGTGGTGGAGGATATTTAAAAACATATTGGTTACACACATGTAAATACCCAATAATATAACTGCCTATTTTTCATTACTGGACCTGGGTTTTCTGGTGCAAAACTGTTAAATTTAATATTTATTTCTAACTTTTATTGACAGAATCTATTGTGAATTGACAAATTTGTTATGTTCTTTAAAATTATTAATTATGTTTAACAGTTTTGGACTATATAATTATTCTATACATGCTTGTCTAATTGACTAATACAATTATTTGAATATTAATAATAAATAATACTGGTTTATGGTTAAATTGTTATGGAATGTTGAAAATAATACGGGTTTCTTAAATAATGCTTATACTTCACTGCTTTGCTTTTTCACT